GAGTAGAAACAGCCTGAGGCCTGTGCCAGATGCAGCTGTCCCAGAATCGTAAGCCAAATAATCCTCTCTACTTTATAAGTTACCCAGACCCAGGTATTTCTGTCATAGCAACACAAAACGGACTAAAATAAAAACATATGCTCTTAATTACTACATATCTCCCCCCACCCTAGCACAAGTCATATGGTCTCTCTTCATTAGAGCTTTGACTATATGGAAGAAGTGACTGAATGGGGGTACTTGCAGGCACTGGAAAAATGAAGAGAGTCAGCCTTCAAAGCATCTCTCGAATTGTTCATAGACACCATCCTTTGTTAAATTCTGGAGAGAAAGAAAGGAAAGGAAAAGAAAAACTCTATCTCTGGGAACACAAGTCATAGATGGATTTATCCTGAGCCAGTTTTCACATGCATGTCACACCCCTTGAGCCATTTAGATAAATCATGACCAGTGCAGTGCTGGGTCCAAGCAGCCCTGGGAAAGGAAAAGAGGGAGAGTATGGAGTGGACAGGTTGACGGGGTGGCAGTGCCACTGTCCCCAGCTGCCCAGCGTCCAGGCCATCCCCATGAACTTACCAGGCAGCCATACTATTCTGTGAGGACACGACCCGCTTGGCACAGAAGATGTCATCCAGAATATGGTGGTTGAGCAGGTCTTGGGGGAAGAGAGGGACATGGTGACCTGGTGCATTGGGGATAGGGTGACAGTGTATGATGAAGGGCCCAGGGGTTCTAGGTTCCTTGGGGCCTGAATAACTTTAACCACTGCATTGCCTGATTCTGGATGACCTTGAATCTCTTGTCAGCTGGTAATGAATTACCTGAACTGCAATGCTGGCTGGTTCTGTACAACCTTAACTCCTGTTGACTGATTTTGGATGACCTTGACTATCCTAATGGGTGGTTATGAATAACCCCAAGCACCATACTGGCTGGTCCTAGACAACTTCATACTCCAAGTCAGCCACCTCAGGATGGCTTCAGCTGTCACTGTGCCTGGTCATGAATGATCTCAACTGCAATACTGACTGGTCTGACATCACTTCATCCACTATGTTGGCTGCTTGGGGACCTACTCAACTGCCATGTTGCTCAGTCCTGGTGACTTCGAACACTGTGTTGTCAGGTCCTAGATAAACTCAACTCCCATTTTGACTGATTATGAATTACCTCAATCTCTTGTTGTCTAGTCCTGTTCAGCCTCAGCCACTATGGTGCCTGGTCCGAGATGATCTCAACTGCCATCTAGGCTGGACTAGGATGACCCTAATTGCCTAGTGGTCAGTTACGAATACTCTCAACCACCATGTTGACGAGCCACAGACATCCTCAACTGCCATTTGACTAGTTATAAATAACCTCAACCTCCCTGAGGATTGGCCCAGGACCTCAACCTCCATTCTAGTGTATCTAGTTGACGACCTCAACTTCCATGTCGGCTTAAACTGACCAATCTTGACTTGCATTTTAGCTAGTCTTCAATAAAGTCATTGTTCACGTTACCCTGTCTTAGACAACCTCAATATCTGTGGATGACAGTCCTGCACAACTTCTAACTTCAAGCCGGCCGCTTCTGGGCAATCTCTTCTTTCATGTTGACAGGACTTGGACAAAGTCAAACCCCATTCGGGCTGGTCCCAAATACCTTTAGTCTCCATTTTGGACTGTCTTGGACAACCTCAACCACCATTTTGGCTAACCCTGAACAACTTCAACGGCTATTATGTTTTCTCTTCAACCACACTACACTCTTTCCTGGAAAGTTCTCTCATTTCTGCGTGGATGTAGTTTCTTTCTGTTCCTACACACAGACGTCTGCTTCTTCCCTCAGTGTCTGGGCAATCTCAACCCCAAATCAGGACAATCTTTCCCTATATTCCACATGCAGCCAAGTTCCCAGTTTCCTGAGTCTCACAAAACTGTAGCTTCCCTTCCAGGTAAGGTTTGGGAGCTCTGAGTTATCCTAACCTAGACATCCTCTCATTGTAGTCTGGGTAAGGATACCTGATGATGTCTCGAACAGCCCAAACAACGTTTCTTAATTCCCCATCATTTTTCTACTTGTTTCGGGAGATTATGGCTTAAACCACCTTTCCCTCCTTGTGTGGGGAGTGGGGCCAGGAAGGGCTTCAGGGTATTCCCAGTGCTGCCTTACTCTGACAATCTATGTGGCAGAGGTTCTGGGTGGGTGTGATGCCATTGTTACACCACCAAGCGGAGTTCAGCTGGAAAATGCCGTATTCACTGCTGCCATCGGGATTGTGGTTAACGAAGGATGTGTCAAAGCCACTTTCATAGTGTGCCATGCACAACCCTGGACCAGAGAGAGGGCGGAAGGAGGTGGGCTAGGGCCTGGGAATTGGTAAGTCTAGGATGAGGAAGGTGAGTACAGGGATGGTTGTCATCTCAGCTGTGAGAGTGATGATCTATGTTCGCTGGTGGTGATGTTGCTGACTCTGGTGACATATCAGTGATGGTGGAGATTATGGTATTCTTGGTGATAATATTGATGTTACTAATGGTAGAGTTGATGGTTATAAAGGCAATAATGGTGATGACATTAGAGTTAGATAAACCACTCTTTGCGGTCAGTCAGGGAGAACAATGCCCTGGTCAGAGAGAAGATAAATGACAAGAGGGACCTGGTTGTGAGTGTCATGGGTTGCTCGGGACATGAACGGGACTTGGGGCAACTGGCATCTCACAGTCTCCAATGCCGTAGCCCTTGTAGCCATTGAGGCTGGACTTCTGTAGCTTCAGTGCCAGCTCGCAGCGTTCATAGATCTTGGCATCCACAGCAGCCGTCATCAGCATGGAGAAGGTCACTACCACACTGCCCCACGCCGGCATTACGACACCCAAAAGCCCTCCTGTCTGACTCTTTGCTCCAAACTCACCCTGTGCTGTTCGATATCGGGGGCATTCCGGAACTCTGGGCACTATGAACAAAGCTCTAAGTGATAGATTCTGGAACACAGAAGCCAGGCGTCTGGACGCCTCACCACTTTTTCAAGTCCCAGTTCTGGTAGAAACCAAGAGACAAAAGATACTAAAACATACACAAAGATGGAAGGAGACAAAGACAGCGAGAAAACCAGACATAGTAGAAAGAGGTGCAGGGAGAGAGGGGTTGGGGCCAAACAAAGGGCAGACAGGTCTTGGGTACTAGGCCTCACGGTGAGGCCACGTTATCCCACAATCATAACACTGTCGCACTCTACTCTCCTTAGTCGTGCTCTACCATGTGATTACCACCATTTCCACTTACTCTGCCCCTCATCGCCACCATTCCCTCCTCTGCTAGGTAGTCAGGGCTGTTCACCGCACTGTAGCTACCACCGCCCCCTTCCATTTACTCACTGTCCTAGTCCGTTTGTGTTGCAGTGACAATACCTGAGACTGGGTAATTTATAAAACACAGAAATTTATTTCCTCACAGTATCTGAGACTGGCAAGTCCAAGATCAAGGCGCTGGCATCTGTTGAAGGCTTTCTTGCTGTGCCCTTACGTGATGGAAGGCAGAAGGGCAAGGAAGAGTGAGCCCACTCTTGCAAGCCCCCTTTATGGTGACATTAATCCCTTCAAGAAGGTGGATCCCTCATGACATAAACACCTCCCCAGAGGCCCCACCTCCCAACACCAACACCTGAATTTTGGAGGACACATTCCCACCATAGCATTCATCCTTGGAACCTCCTTCACCTCTCTGCACTTACTGCGCTGCTCCACCCTAGTTTACTGGAATCCGCCCCATGTTACAATCACACTGGGCCCCACATCACGTAGGATAAATGGCATATTACATATACATCCTCACACTCGACTGCTTCTTCACCTTCATTCTCGTTCTACCCCTTATTCCCCCATTCACTTACACTGCCTCTCATCCACTCATACTCACCCAACCAGACCTCGGCTTACCATAGATCCCTAACTCTCTACTTGTCCTTCCCCAAATTCTCTCACATCGTATTGCTACTTCCCCTCCATTCACTCCCACTTAGACTCATTTCCTTCCTGCACTTCTGCTTCCTGCTGCTGCATCAGATGACTCCCACTCACTCTCATGTGGCCCGTCCTTCACCTCTGTTCATTGACTCCGGGCCTTATCATCTCCCCCATTCGCTCCCCTTCTACCTATTCTTCAACTTTATTCTCCCAAATGCTGCCGCCCCCTTTTCCTGGGCCTCTGCCTCACATTACCCCCAAACACCAGCTCAAGTTACCCACACATGCTCGCTCTTACGTTTGGTCACCTCCATTCTTTCTCAACTTTTCTTCATTATCTCACTCTGCCTCTCATTACCCCATTC